GCATTCGTTCCACAAATACAGAAAAGCAGCATCCTGCAGATTCTGTACAGCCAGTAGCAATTAGAAAGAAAAATATACAGTTTTTTGATTATGCAGACGATATGGAGATCACTTGACTAAGTGAGTCATGCAGCTTTCAGCTTTCTGACAGGCAGGAGACCACTGGCCTGTTTGTTTCTGTCATGTCTGTTACTGAGACGATCATGCTCAATAGTCAGTCAGGTGGAATACCTATGTGCCTATGTGGGTCTTTTTCCCTTGTAAATGTCTCAGGTTTCAAGTAAAGATGTATACATGAGTCATACAGAATACTGAATTACTCACCGGTTAAAGCATGTGGATGTTGAGTGACAAAGTAGAGCATTTACAGAAAGAGAGGTAGATAATCCTAAAGGCTTCACTGTGCAGTAAAGTCATAATTCAAGCTTGGTTTCTGCCAAGCTATATATCTTTTAAAGTAAAGCGCTGGTAGGGCGTTCATCTTCATAAATGTACACCCATCACAGAAAGTCTTTCTTGGAGGACAGATCCAGTATTTCCTTGAATGTTCAGGAACTGGGGAGTTGTGGGGAGGTCCGGTTTCACTGGCTCACACTCCATGCAATTAAAAAGAAATGAACAAATAAAATCAATGAGGGTCGCTTACACTGTGGTGTCAAAGGAGACAACAGAGGACAACACAAGCCTATATCTTAATTAGGAGAATAATGTATAGGCCTCCACAAGAACAGCCCAGTGCATAAAATAAGGGAATACAATGGCATTTACAAATCACTTCTCCTTTACAGAAAGACAGGGTTCATTACTTTTAGTGTAAACAAAGTAAAATGTGCCTTAAATCTTTGATTTCAGACACCACACATAACATGTGGTGTCTTCCATGCCAATTATGGTTGCAAAGCTATGATAGGAATATCACTGTCTTGGGAAAGGGTTTATCAACAAGTTATTAATTCTGGCTGTGTGCAGTCGAAAATGAAAAATGGCGTGGATCATGGTGTAAGCCTGAAAAACTGCAGCAGTGTGTGAATAACAGCATGTGTCGTCCCTCTCCCCCTCTCTCTCTGAGGGTATTTTAACAAGGTGCTGACAAGAAAAATGATAATGATGTGTCTGTCATGATGCAGAGCTCGGTAAATGTATCACGATGGCAGGTGACTGATGGTCTGGTATCACCCATTGGCCAAACCAAGAATTATTTCCCTTAAAACACACACACACACACACACACACACACACACACACACACACACACACACACACACACACACACACACACACACACACACACACACACACACACACACACACACACACACACACACACACACACACACACACACACACACACACACACACACACACCACACACACACACACACACACACACACACACACACACACACACAGTGAAAGTCAGGGGGCCTGTAATCTCTCAGCAGAGGTACGAGCAGGTGAATCACATCCCTCCTCAGGTTTATACTCATTGTTCACTGACAGTCTATCTTCCACTTGCAGCCTGAAAGCTGTGATGTCATTACGGTAACCTTTACAAACTGTAAAGTACTGTGCTGTGACTGTATATGTGAAATGTGTGACACAGATCATCTAAGAAATGTTTCTTCTTCTGCGTGGCCACTGTTGGCTTTATCAAAGTTTAGAGAGGTTATGATTGTTTAAATGTAACAAAGATATCTGGAATGAACACAGAGTTGTTCTACTTTCCCCAGCTGTGTGATACTGATGCCAAATGTCTTGTTTTTAATATACTTTATTAAAAATCATGGATGATTATCAATTTGTCAGATTTTCAAGAATTTACTTATAATCTCAAGCTTGTAAGTATTATGTGGTGTTACGGTGTGTCTAATAAATTGCTCTGGTTCTATTGGTAATGCCCTTTGTTACAGAAAGTGACATTTTAATGGCTTCTTCTAGAATATGAAATGCATTTCAGAAAACCTGCTTACAGCTGTAATACAGATAATGATCTTATCCATTTACTTTTATACTATAAATTAAAAAAGGCAAATCCACTATGTGATACTTATTTTGAATAATAAACTTATGTTTTAACTTCTAGTTTTATCTTCTGAAATACTTATCTTAAAAAACATTTAAATATTTGTAAATAAGAATGTAATGTGAGCACAATCGTCATTTTCCAACTTTATGTACAACATTCAAAGGCTTTCTTCTTATACTTACATTTCAACCTCATTATCGTATATGCTATAATTAATCCCAAATATTTGTTATCATTTTATCTAGTCACACACATGCAAGGATGAAGATAATATCCCTAACAATATTGATCAGGTCCACAGTTTTACTGCACTGAGCTGGAAATGAGTCAAGGACACACGCACACCGTTGGCTCGGACAGGCCTTACGCATTCAAAAGGCTTACCTCATTTGACACATAAAGTCACTGCCAATCATTATCAGGCAATTATTTAACTCAAGGTGAGGAAAATGTTTAAAAGCCAGCATGTTGTATTTAGTCTCTTTAAAAAAATAAAAAAATGCCTGGCAGTTTTTATTTTCCTCGCTGTAATCACAGCTCATATTTCATATTAGGAAACAGTAGGCATGCAAGGTGCTGCACCTACTACATATATAGTTTAATATCATAATCAGTCATTTGGACTCTTAATATAATGGGGTACTCAAATTAAAAGCAGAGAATGTTCATGATTTAATTGCACCACCATTTTTCTGTCATGACATTTAGAAAAAGGGCCAGTACATGTCATAAGCATAGTGTAGGTCAGTATATACTGTACCTTATAATTGAATGCTGCTCCGGTGTTACACAAATAGCCTGTTGTTACAAGAATCTGGTATAATGGGCTGTCAGTAGCAGCAATGATGCTAGGCTAGTGAGTTTCTACACACTAGATTTACTCCATTTAAACATTTTAGGGGGTTTCCGATTAAGCAATTTATTGTGCTGTTTCCCACAGCTGATACATTCTTGGAAATTACTAATAAGCACCACCTGACTTTGCAGGAATGGACTAGATTTGTCAATAGGCCAAAAGATATGGCTTCAGATTATCACAGATAGCAAGATAATATTCAGACGGATCATCGACACAACACAACTGCTTTCATGTGTCTGAGGAGAGTGAGCATAACTGTGAAAACCTGAAAAAAGGAATGTCCTTATTGAGAGTAGTGTTTTGAGATCCACTGAATACTGATTTAGTGTTTAACTAAATTTGATGAAACCTTTACAATGTTAAGTATAGTATAAATCTGTTGATTCAGTGTGTCTTTTCTTCAGATATCTCTCTCCAAAAAAGATGTTGCAATTTTTATTTTCCATTTTGTTCCACTGAGTATTAATGATGCAAGAGAGAGAGAGAGAGAGAGAGAGAGAGAGAGAGAGAGAGAGAGAGAGAGAGAGAGAGAGAGAAACATTATCTGGTTTAAGTTTGCCAATTTGGCATTTTTTGTCTGTTTTTAATAAAAGCCAAACAAAAATGTCCCAGATTCAACCAGATTTTGAAAGAATCCAGACCATTTTCTGAGCTCATATTGTCTCCTGCTGTGGAAGTTTCAAACTACATAAAAGCTTTGATTCTCCTTTCTTTTGTGGTCTTATGAATCAATGGTATCAATAGTGACATTCACGCATGAAAAAAAGACACAGGTAAATGTCATTGAGTGTTCTTTACAATTGAAAACTGTGCCTCTAATCTAATGTTCTCTAATAAGTGATGATTTGAAGGGATGACAATGACAGACTGTACACAGACTCAATCCATACATTCCTATAATGCAAATATGTGCTCCAGTGGCGAGAACCGACCTGTGATACATATTGGAGTTGTCTCTGAAAGGCAAATCAATATCTCTTGCAAACTGCATGGTAAGCAAATCGAAGTTCTTTAGCAACAGATAATGAATACAAAATGTCAGCAGACATAAAAAAATGAGTCTTTCATGGTGAAAATAAACATCCCTTGGGTTCTTAATTTCTAATTATAAACCATCAACAATATTGTCTTTCTAAAACAAAGAACAATGTCTGCACAAAAAATGGCTCCAAATTAAAAATCCACTTTTTCTGCATCTCAAGGGTGTTTTTGTCTAACCAAATTCATCATTCTGTTGCAACAACAGCCTTTCCCATTACTGTCAAGCATAGCGTCCCTTTGCGCCAATAGATTTGCCTCTTCACAACCGAACAAGACACTAACTTTTTAACACATGTCATAAAGCTGCAAGACATCTCATTCAGTACATAGGGGCCTGTGTTGATCTGAGACTTCAGACATGCCATCGGAGAGAACAAGCGGTACGTCATCTGATGGGTTTCTCAAATGACAGGCTTGTCACAAAACAGCCAAAAGCTTAGAAGTGCAGTTCACTTGACACACAGTCTTCAGGGATGTCTCTTGAAAAAAAAGCAGCCCCATAAAAAAGAAATCTGTTGGTGTGGGTGGGAGGATGGGATTGGGGTACATAACAAATAAAGCATTGGCCTACAAAAGATCCAAAGGGAACCCTCAATGTGCCTCCTTGGTATCCATTTAGCAGGAGGGCTTACAGCATCCAGCTACTTACAGCCTAACCCAAGTGCTAAATTACTCACCGCGCTCAGCTGGAAACACTATAGAAAATGTGTTTTCCTAGGATCTGGTCTCCTTTATCAATCCCAAACAGCAGGGACCACAGCTTTAAGCACTATGCCAGGGTTCCAGCAACAGCAAATAACATTTCAGACGGAAAGAAAGAAGGAATGGTTGCACAAATAAGATTTCAGTTTTGTCTCTGTAAATCCTTTAAAGCTAAATCTAACACAGTACATCCTACTGAATTCCTACTGAAACTATTCAAAGACACTGCCTCAGAAAAGTAAGACTTAAAAGTACAATTGTTCAAACAGGCAGACAGACAGAAGGACAGACACACACATACGTCTTTGAAAAATTACAAAGAGAAACAGGTGCAGGGCCACTGGATTTGAATCAGAATCTTTCATTTCTTACCAATGAAGAGGTTCCATTCAGCATCTAGGTCTGCCTGGTTAGCTAGACAGCCCCTCATCACGTTGTGGCAGTAGTTGTGACAGGGTTTCAGCCCAGGCATGCCGCGGCAGTATGGACAGTAAAGCATCTTGGTCAAGGCTCTGACACAAGCTGGCAATACATTCACCTATGGAACAAAGAGACATGATCAGAAACAGGTTTATTACCAGGTAGGTTAATACGAGGAATTTGACTTGGTGTTTTGTAAGTCTTACAAGCTCATTAAACCTCAGTAATTGTTTCATAACCTGCTGTTTGATTCGTTTAAGGAAGAGAGTTGTGATAAAACAAGAATATTGCACAGCATGTTTCTATTATTCTACAAAACCTCATGAAGTTTCCAAAGAAACGTAGCATCAATAGTAAGGATTGCAATTCCCAATAGGAAGGTTCATTGGGGGGGGGAAGTCAGACTTATTTAAACTTTTGACAAACATCCCCACACTACATTACGTCTTCTGAAGCTTGAAATGTGAAAACCCACCAGATAAAACTGTTTGACAAGACTATGTTTACAACTCTGTCCATTTTGATTCCATGTGAAGGCTGTGCCTTTTGTTGTTGGGCCATGTCATTGTACCGGCTTGAGTGAAAGCGACAGGATTCTCACATCTGCTTCCCTTCAGAGGTGGGGATGCAGAACGAAGAGTACATCTGATAATTGGCCTGTCAGCCTCTGTATTCATGCTTGACTTTAAATCTTGTCCAACACACACTCTGGAGACCGCTAGTGTGTGTTGGTGTGTGCATTGACAGATTGGTCCGTGGTTGTCATAAAAAAGACCACACAACCGGAAACTATCTTTATACTACAAGAGTTTGGCTGAGGCAGCTGAGGCAGCTGAAGCAATCTACTCATCTCAAAAAACTATTTGAAGAGAAGAGTTAAAAACATGAATTATAAGTCTAATTGTACGGTAAGGCCATGTTCATTCATCAGAGCAAAACAGAAAAAAAATGCTTTTTCCAGAAGTCCGATCAAATCACGTTTAATTTATTTTATGGCCAAAGATCTAACATTTGCAGCCACAAACACAAAGAACACAACAAAAGAAGAAACCTCAGGAAGAAAAAAACAAAGGCATCGGTTAAAATATTTGTCATTATGAGAAGAATACATTAATTACTTAATTTGTGTTTTACCATTTTCTTTGTCATAAGTAATATGTTAATTTGACCTCTCTTAACATTAATACAATTAGAACAAGAAAAAAAGAACAGTCAGAGACAGATCAAACAAACCCGGTTATATAAATACAGTTGAAGATAAAAGTAAACAATAAAACATCAGAGCAACCTTGTAGCTCCATGGCAACATCTTTTACTTTACTGGAACAATTGCAAGACCACATGTGTGAGCACTGTGATGTGTGTGTGAGGGAGAGAACAGGAAAATCATGAGAGAAAGGGAGAGGAAGAGACAGAGATGGGGATCTAAGCTATTAGTGTACTTCCACTGCTGATGGCAGCCGGCAACAAGGGAAAAAGGAAGCATCTTTGACATTTGCAATCTGCCGCTGACAACACGTGATGTCTTTTAAGAAGGCCATTAAACTAGGTTGCTAGCTGTCAATTACACAGCTGCATGTCATACACTGGTATGTGTTAGCAGGATCGGGGTTAACATATGGAAATGTGTCACAAACATGGTTCATTTGGATGAACATTATACAGCTGACATGCCTGGAAACTATTCATATGGTTGGGTTCTGCGTGTGTGTGTGTGTGTGTGTGTGTGTGTGTGTGTGTGTGTGTGTGTGTGTGTGTGTGTGTGTGTGTGTTCGAACAGTATTTCTGTAACAAATGGTCCCAACAAACCTAAACCAGACTGTGAGAAAATGTCCCGCTACTTTAAGTCTGTGTATTAAGCATTAGTAAGAGCAAGGAAATGTGTTGATGAAAGTACAGTATTTAAGACATATTTTATATGATCACAACTGTGAAAACGTTTTTTCTCAATATATAAACATATTTATTATTTGTTCAAACCTCAGCCTTCACTTCTAAACAGATCACAACACTTATATTTGCCCCGACGACTTCATAGTGTGCTATAAACTGTTTATTAAACGTTAAAGTAATGTTTATAATGGTTGAATAGGGGTACCTCACGTTTAGTGTCTCCATATATTTATCAATAATTAATATATTTTTTAAAGTTCTGTAAGTGTCTGCTTTCAGGCCGCATGGCTGCATTCACAGTCATTTGATTGTATGCATAATATTAAAGCTGGAGTGCGGAACCTCTCCCTTGCTAGCGGTGAGAGTAATTACCAGATGGGAGAGAGCACAGTGACGGAGCAGCAGCTAGGAGTGTGGCTGAAGCTAAGTTTCTGGAGTGGATGCTCGAGAATAAATAAGAAACTTTGTGTTCAGAGGAAGATTTAAGACAAACTATTTGCATGGGAAGACTTGAGAAGAGCGGGGGAGAGGAAGTGAGCTCACTTACAGGCCTGAGTGTGCCAACGCAGGACAGTTGCCACAGACACCAGACACTATACTCTAAACCGCGAAATACAGACAGCTTTCCGCTGTGTGAACTCGTTTGGCAGAGGGGTTGAATGTAACAGGGGTTCCTTCATATGTAAAAGTCCTGCATTCCAGCTATAACTAGCTTTAAATGTCTACATTTTCTAATTCACAGGCAGTGCTGGAGGGAGTACAACAAAGAAGAAGGAAAGAGAAGAGCCAACAGAGAAAGAACCGGCTGTTTAGAGAGCCAAAGACGCTGCCAAGGACGCGGAGAAATAAACACCATGGAAAACAGAGACGGATACAGATGAAACAGACGGAGAGGGAACCGGACAAGTCACTAGCAGACACACAGAGGGAACAGGCAGGTGTTACCGCCACATTGGACAGAGAAACGGACCAACTTCATGCCAATCATAGTGCTTGCTTTGAAAAGGGCTGCATCTTATTTTCCAAAGCATTTCTCACTTGCAATTGACAAGCTTTAGGATCTTTTTTTTCTTTCTTCAAATGCATCTGATATTTTGTTAGCAAAATTAAGTTTTGCCCTTTCATGAATTATTTAACTGATTTACATCGCTTGCTTTTCAGCCTGATAATTTTTTGTCTGTACTTTGCCGTTTGTATTGACAAAATCTATCTTACATAAAAAATCCATGAGTTAAATCTGACTGCTACATGCAATTCACCAGGGTACTGTAACACAGCTGAGGACAAGACAGTTTTTAGATTGCACTTCACCTTCCACCCGCATCCCCATGAATCTCCGGCAATCGCTTTCCCTCAATGACTCAAAACCCGCGGATTAGATATAACATTTTCCTATCAAGCTATTTGGTTCATTTTATTTCACAGGCTAATTTGCATATACATATATTTGTTATAGAGACAGGTAAAGAAGAGAGGAAGAGTTTGTCCCTTTTGTTTCCTCTTTTGGTTCAGCCGCACACAGTGACTGTACCTAGTGAAGGACATTAAATCCAGTTTAAACCTCTATCGTAAAACAAAACCTAGTCCACAGGATGACTTTGGAATTTATTCATATAATAAATTCACAGTTCCACTGCTATAGTATAAATGATTGCAGCATTATAGAAGAGCCTAATGAATTGATAGTATACTGTTACATCTACTCTACATCAGCACACCATTACAAATGTCCTGCGTTGGATAGAATATTTAAAAGACAAACACTGGGAGAGTCTTTTTTTACTATAAATCCGTTCTGTCTCTTAACATTCAGTGTGGCTTTTTAGTGGCCACCAAAAAAAAGTATTTCATACTGCACATAGGAAAAATGTTTTAAGCTGCCTTCAGCCTTGTGAGGCTTGAGAAAAATGTGCATTCAAATTGTACTTCCTAACGCAATTATCTTACAGGGAACTTTTACATCATTGCAGTGACTGTATCCAGCCGTCGCTGTATGCCCTGGATGAAGGGTAATCTGATAATCTTGTTAGTACTTATTTACAGTGGAGTGGATGAAATATTTCACAGCTGGCTGAGTGTGGGACTGGCGCGCAAAATGCCTCAGATCCAGAGTGAGATTAAACTAATCTACTCATCTGATGTTTAAGTGCTATGATAACACCACATGGAGAGCATGTGTTTGTGTGCCGGTTGCTTTGAGTTTTCAAGTAGTGCAGGAAGGATTCCTTCAATATAAGTACTCCCTTTCTAAAGTCCTATAATGAAAATAACCTAAGTATGATTAGCTTAATATACTTAAGAGTTTAAATGTTCCTCATAATGCGGATAAATAACTACTATATTAAACATAAATGTTGTTATTAGGTTTGCATTGTTGTAGCTTTTTATTTTTGTAAAAGCATCATCTTTTAAAAGCTTTTTCATATATTTACAGAACCAGCTCTTTAGTTTTATACAGTCATTTTCTTTAAAACAGATATACTGCTACTGTTTTACCATGGTGCTATTTGTTTTTTTACTTATTGTGTTCTTTTATTATTAATAACATGTGCATACTAAGTTATTTTTAAATTTGTAAGTCTGTTCTCCTCACTTTATCTGCACTATCTGCTGTTGTAATAATGTACATGTTCCTGTTGAGGACAAATAAAGGAATTATGTTATATCTCTCACAGGCTCCGCCCTCTACTGGACTCTATGGGTACTACCTTATCATGCAAGCATTCACCTACTGAGATTTCTATAGACGTAGCCGACCCCGGGGCAGGCCTACCTGAATGCGTGCGCATCTCACTTCCGTATAAAAGGAGGCCCCGCCTCCTGACCAACATCCTTTACTCTTCAGCGAGCGGAGGTGATACTAGCACTGAGTCTGAGACGTTTTAAGGAGAAAGGAAAGCGAAAAGTAAGAGAATTATCGAAATGGAGCCACTCCTGGAGCATCGAAACTGCCCGTCGTGCCCTGGCCTGATTGCGGGAGCGGATCTGCACCGCCAGTGTTTCCAGTGCCTGCGGCAGGACCATGCCGAGCAGGGAACGGGCCAGACACCGGCCTGCGTTGCCTGTCGCTCGATCCCGCTGTTGAATCGCCGGCATGGTGCGGAGCCCTTCTGGAGGAAGCTCGGCCCGCAGGCGCACGTGGAGGTAGATGATCCGGACCTCGAGGTGGTAGAAATGGACGATCTGGAGGACGTGCCATTTGAGTTCACTCTGCCGAGGGACCGC